GTGGACAAGGAGCGCGCCGCGTAACGAAAACGTCAGACTTGACGATAGCCATACACCTTCCTCGAACGAAAACCATTGAAAACCAGGTAAAGAGAAGCACCAGGGTCAACCATGCGTGATACTTATCGCCCAACATAACTTGAATCGTAAGCAAGAGAGAGAGAGAGAGAGAGAGAGAGAGAGAGAGAGATTTGAACTTACAGCTCACATGCTTTACTGGGTACCTTGATATCCATCGAGATACATGGGCTAAAAGACTAGGCTAGAGCATTTTTGTTCTAAGCCCTGCCCGGTAAAGTTGTCTCCCACATTCTTTACTGGGTACCTTGACATCAGCCGAGATAGATGCGCAAAATGTCTGGGCTCATGCCTTCCTGTTCTTAGCACTGCTCAGTATAACTTCATTCTAGAAGGAGAGACAGAAACAGAGACAGAAATTGGAGACTGGATGAGAGAATGTGAACATTTTACTAAAGGTCGTCATCATTTACTGCTGGAAAATGATTTTGAGCTCACACTTTGATTGTAGATGTAATGGTTTGGGCATGCACGGATGGAAACCGTGTCTGAAGTCATGTTCAATAGGTAGCGCTAGGCACTGGAAACTGTTATTGGGCCGGAAATTTGTTTCTGCCTCATAAGTACGGTTGGGTCTAGCCTATTATATTTGAGCACAAGCCCAAAACTTGGGGCGGATGGGCCGGATTCTACGTCATTAATTTCCACGTTTGTATATACTGCTCTGACAGACCGCCGTAAAATGGACGGTCATGAGTCCCCCATTGCGGTTTCCAAAGCGATTCATGCAGACCTACGCTTTAGGACTATAAAATACCATTTTTAAATCAAAAAATTAAATAAATAGAATATTTAGATAAAGTATACTAGCGCATGTATTTTTACTATTATTATCCTTCAAAGATCATCGAACCAAAATATTCACAGTTAGCTGAATAAAATGATACGTAATATTTTTGTCATAAATGCAGCATAAAGCGTATTTAAATTTAAATTTATATATACTTCATCTTAACTTAAGAAAACTTGAACCGGTAAAGTTAGATAGATTGCCATCTTTGAAAATAAAAATGACATAAAAATATTTAAATGTTTTTTATTTGAGCAAATGAGAACCTTTGACTTCAGGCGACGTGATAATTTTTGAAGCTAAAATACAGGATAAACATGAGGCAGCATTATAATAGGAAAACAGATTTTAATGAAAATTGTCCGCTAGCGATCAACTGTTATGCCATCACTTTCTCCCTCTCCCTTAATATATATGTATTTGATATACACATGGATACATACAAATGAGTAAGGTATCGATATTAATGGATTGCAACGGAACTTGGCTTTCGCCTGGCATGCTCACTGCGGGTCTACTATTTAAGGTGATTGAATAATCGTGGGCTTTGACAAAGGAGAGAGGATCTAGGCCTGTTGGTTGACTTAAAGAGGCGGAATTGAGATAGGAGTACTATCTGAGCATTGTCTCCTGGTCAACAATCTCGACTTGGGCATATGGCTTAACAGGAGCATTCTATTTTTTTCGTTCATTAAGTAATGATTCTCGTCGTAGAGATTGACCTCTCGATACCCCCATGAAGAAACGCAACATGACATGCTGTGTTCAATCCATATTCTAGGTGCTTTGAGAGAGAGGGAGGAGCGAGAGAGAGACAGACAGAGAGCGAGAGTGATTTATCTTGGGGAATTGACTTCTGTCGGAGATCTGCTATTTCAGTGGAAGCCCATTAACGGTGAGGCTTGTGCAACTGCATGTGGCATTGCCCAATGAAGGGATTGTCTTCCCTAAGATCAGGACAGGATCGAGTCAACCGGGGATACCAGGTTGGATCGAACCGGTAGAAATCAAGAGTGAAGCAACCAGCTCACCTAATGGAGGGCTGCATAATCCGATCCTTAGATTGTAACTTTCCTATGACCATTTTCAGAAAGGGGCTCATTTTCTTGAGGCTGACTCGTTGTTGCTGTCGTTATATTATTTTTACTAGGTAAGTCGGGGTTTCTTCCTACAATTTAAGTTATTATGGCTAAAAACATATTTTTTAACATAACCTGAAGTGTTTATTGTTACCGACTGCCATTAAGTGGGCCTCAACCTAGCAGATGCCGTCAGAAAACCACGGCCAGTGAGCACCGTGTCTGTGTCGGTGGTAGCCTTGCGTCAACACCCTCCTCCCCCCCCCCCCTGCTCTGTCTCTCTCTCTCTCTCTGTCTTTTCTTTTAATGGCTGAGAATGTCCGAATAGCTCTGCCCGATGGTCGTCGGAACTCCGTCATCCCTCTCTCTCTCTATCTCTCTCTTCTTTTGATGAGTGTGAAACCGGAGGAGCAGCTACCGGGGCCTTGAGTGGGACAAGGGGGGAGAGGAAGCAGCCGGAGAAGAAATATTATCGGTTTCAGAGCCGGTTTCACGGGATCTCCGCCGGCCTTCTCGCTCTACTCGGGACCGCCGTCTCAGAATTCGTAAAAGCTAGTTCCTTCCGGCAAGGCCCGCCGGTGCCAAAGGTGGACCAGCGGCCACCATCCCCTCTGCTTTCGCACCTGGAGTCTTCCTCGAGAAGATAGCATAGCTAGCGAGAGAGAGAGGGAGAGGGGACCGCCATGGCTGCGGCAGTGAAAGCGATGCATGAGACGCACGTGGATGCGAGCACGCGTGGGAGACGACGCCGAGGAGAGGGAATACATCCAAAAATTGAGGATCGCAAGGCCCGACCCAGACGGTGGGGGGGCGGATGGATCCGATCCCCAGGCGCCCACCCCTCCCCCCCTTCTCCTTCACTGCTCGGAAGGAGAGAGAGAATGAGAGAAAAGAGAAAGAAGACCCACAGCAGTGCGGCTACAGCATCCACAGAAGCAGACGAGTCACGTCCCCGTCTCCCCTCCCCCTCGGGATCGCCATTACCCTCCTCCCCTCACCCGTTTCTTCCTATTCCATCGCTCTCTCCACACCTTTCTCTTTTCTCTTTTCTCTCACCTCTCTCCACCTCGCTCTGAGACTCTCCCCTCCTCCCAACACTGCACCACATGCCCCTCTCTCTCTCTCCTCCGCTTCTCTTTATCCAAAGCTGCCATGTCCGTTCTCTCGCGCCCTCGTCGTCTTCTTCCTCTGCCGGAGGAAACCCTATATTTTAAACAGTCCATGCAGGCGAGAGGACGCTACGGCATGAAGGCCAGGCTCGGTCCGTATTTCGCCACGTGCGTTGGGAAGTGGAGGCCAGCGGGGTTCTGACCGTTGATTCACTATCCTACGTGTCGTGGACGGCGGTGATGACGTGACGGAACTCACGTGCGAAACGCAGCGTACGCCGCCATGCCAGACGTGACGTCGGCCGCTGACCGGAATTGATGGCGGGAGGCGACGGCCTGTCAGTGGCCAGCCGTAGTCCGAAACGTGGAAGCGTGACGGTGCCCCCGCCCGATATGAAGTGCCCGATATCTGATACCCGATAGTTAATCGTTCGGGTCGAGGCATGATGCGCCCATCCCAGTTTTGGAGACGGGGGGCGGAGGAAGGAACGAGTCTGGGCCGTCGATCTAATGGACTCAGGATGATTAAGGTCCGTATGCTCGATAATGACGGACTTCCAGGTCACATTATTATCATCAATTCCGATGCGCCAACATCCGAAGCTTCGGGCAGTGAGCCCACAGAGAGAGAGAGAGAGTAATCAAGGGATTATCGTGAAGGGTGCAAGATCAAGCGGCTCAGATTTCACTTGATCGACGACCCAAATAATACGATGGAATCAAGTTCAAGATTAGTCGGTTTATATGAACTTGCACAGGGCTGCTTCGGTAATTAGAGATCAGTCAACCCATCACCTCTCTCTCTCTCGCTCTCTGGGGCTCTACCTCTGTTTCTCTCTGTAAGTGAGAGGACCCATCTGAACACAGGGGAGGCCCCGGGAGAGGACGTGGTCATGTGGACGGCGGTGTTTTTGAACATCGTGTGCCTCGTCAACTTGATGGACTAATCGTGTTATTAAACTAATATATGATCGGAGGGACGTCAGGGGGGGGGGAAGGGGGACGGGGATCAATCATGCAGTCGAATGTGGATTGGACGGACGTGATTGGGTGGAGCCCTTTCTGTCGGGCCTCCTTTTGACCGTCCCTCTGCCCTCTTGGTGGATCCGATCGAAGAGAGAGAGAGAGAGATATATATATAGAGAGAGAGACACATACACATACACACACACACACAACGAGAGGCATACGTCGCGGGTTAAGAATAATTTAGCCAAGTGGAACTCACTGCACTCCTGTTCCCTAATGACGAGCCACGGAACCCGGTAATGTCCCATCTTGCCGAAGGAAGACCCAGAAGCCTGCCCTCACCTTTTTCTTTATGTACTCATCTCTCTCTCTCTCTAGCTATCTATCTATCTATTCTATCTATATATCCCTATCTTTCTCTCTCTCAGGAGCATCTTCTTTGCTTCAGACGTCCCTCAGCGGCCTTTCCGAGCGTCTCCAATCCTCTCTTCATAGTTGGCTCTGCGAAGTGTTCATAGACCCCCCCTGGATTCCTCTCTACACGTGTCCTCTGCCCACCTCATCTCTCATCTCCGGGGCCTTGCCAACCACTCCACCAGAGGGGGGAAGTAATCGGTTTAGGTCACTGATCCGGTCTTAAGGTTATCCAAAAGAGGAAAAAAAATATCTTTTTTATGACTATTCCCAATGAAACCCCACTAGAGAGTGGAACGCCCGACGGGTAGTTGTCCGAAGGGGATTAGCGACGACGGCGGCCATTGAGAAAAGTAACGTGGGTGGGCGGCCGTGCCATGGATGTGGCGGCGGGCAGAAGACCGGACAGTGAGCGGACACTGTCGACGAAATCGGGAAATTCTTCTTGCTCATATTTCGCATGAACAGTGCCATTTATGGCAAAGTAGGAAGAGAACGAAGATTTTCCCGGTATCTTGCTGTCCGCAATTCCCTCTCTAGGGTTTATTTAGGCTTGTCATTTTACACGATGATGCCCCGGGAAACGGCGTGATTGACGGAGAAGTGCGTTGTTTCGTACACCGGCAGTTCGTCGTCGTCGCCGCCGCCGCCGCCGCCGCCGATCGCCGACAAATCCTTCAGTTCGAAGAGGTCGGAGCTGCAGTAGCTCGCAGCGTCGTCGTCTTCATCTTCCTCCTCCTCGTCGGCTAAGGCGTTAGCGCTGCTCCTCTCCTTCTCCTCGTAGGCGGTGATGAGTTTCCTCGCCTTCTCTGCCACGCGCTTCCTCTCCTCCGCAACGGCGGTGGCCACTAGATTAGAAGACAGCGGCGGCGGTAGAGGGGGTTCCTCCCTCACCCTGATGGCCGTTAGATGCGGTAGATAGTGCGGCTCGTGGCAAACGGGGAGGTAGTCCTCTTCGACGATGAACCTGACCGATCTCTTGGCAGCGGCGGCGGCGCCGCCGCCGCTCGACGCCGGTTTACTGAGGTAGGACCGCGAGAAGGACGACGCAGAGGAGCAACCAGACTCGTCTCCTCCTCTGATGACGCTGCGGACGGCGGAGTTGGAAGCCGTGGAGATGATCTTCGCCTTCTTGGGGTGGGTGGCCGTGGAAAAGAGGGAGTTGAGGAAGCCAGCAAGGCGGGCGCCTGGGGACACGGGAGTCCTCCCATTCCTAGTCTCCCCGTTGACCTTGGACGCACGGAACCTGCTCCGGATAGAGCCCTTCATCTTCTGCTCCGCCTTTCTTTCCGGCGTGCCGCCGGTGCGAATGGGCTTCGGCAGGTGACGTGTAGAGCGGACGACAGACTCGGCCTCTGAGGAGGAGAAACCGCCATAGCTCGACTCAGACGAGCTAGACGTCGAATTACCGCAGAAGCGGTCTCTCTCCCGCGCCCGGCTGCGGTGTGGCTGCCGCTGCTCGTACTCCGCGGTGGCTCCCCGGTGGCGCGGCGGCGGCGCCACCTTCTCGGAGACCCGCCCCGCGAAGCGCCGGTCTTCCGCGCCGCGGCCGTGGGCGGCATGGCGGGGGTAGCTTCTTTGGTCGACGCGCTTCTTCTCGTCGGCGGGGACGCGACTGGAGCAGCGGAGCCGCGCCGACGCCGCTCCGCCGGAACCCGCGCCGTCGGCCGCGCATCTTCCTCCTCCTCCTCCTCCTCCTCCGCCGCCCTTATCGATAGATTGGTCGATGGCGTCGAGGAGACAGGAGGAGAAGGAGGGGTGGTGGTGGTGGTGGGGTTGGTTGGGTTGGTGGCTCTTGGCTTCGGTGGCGGTGAAGTCATGGCGGCGGTGGTGGTAAGGTATCTGCAACCTTTCCATGGCCGGCCCGACTCGGAAGAAGATGAGAAGAATCGAGAACAACGACACCCACGAAGGGATTGAGGAGGAAGAGAGGAGGAGGGCCGAGAGGAGAGGGAGGACGAGAGGGGAGGGCTTGAGCTCTGCTCCGGAGTGGCTCTGGGCTTTTGAAGCCTCGGAGGAGACGTCACTCCGCCCAAGATGGGGGAGGGGCCGCCGTGCTCGATGATTCCTCCGACTTTAGCAGGGCCCACCCATTGGGAGGCTCTCATCAAACCTCTTTCTCTCTCCTCTGAGTGCGGCGATAATCTATGGCGAGCAGAGTATTTACAGAAGGATTCTTCTGGGTGAAGTTGAGACTGACGTGAGAAGTGAGACTGGCCTCTCTCTGTCCTCCCACCGTCTGCGTGGGTATATTCTCTTGATGATATCTCCGTTGCTCGAGCTAGCTAGCTCTCTCTCTCTCTACACGCGCACACGGAATGGGGGGGATTGTATTAGGGTTGGTGAGATGGCGGGGGGAGAGGAGAGGGCTCTTTGACAATGATGAGACACCTTCCAAACGTTCAGACGGAGATCATCCCATCCACACAAAGCGGATTCTCTCACCCACCGATCTATGATCAGGGCTAAACACAAACTCGCGTCCGAAGGTGGCTCGAGGAGGGCATGACTGGACGTTCTCTAAGAAGCTTGTAGAGAGAGAGAGAGAGAGAGAGAGAGAGAGAGAGAGGAGTCACATCCGAGGGGGTGAACGATCGTCGATAAACTCGTATACCTTTGGGACAGATTTAAATGGAACATCGTCAGGCGAAGCGAGCTAGAGTGGAAGAGCTGGGATGAGTAGTAGATGCATTGATGATTGCACCCGTGGCTCTGCTTTTTGTTGAGAGAGAGAGAGAGAGAATGCGTGCGACTAAAGGTAGGAAGGAAACAAAGCGTGTCGGGAAGGGGGGGGGAGCCCCTCGTGTGCCTCCTCCCCCTGCCCGATCGACTCATTCCTTCCTTTCAACGTCAAGCCCAACTTTTTCCTGAGCCTTTAATCATCACAAGTGTTCCCAAAACGAAAACCAGCCAATACTTTCAATTCAATTCCTACAAAATTGGTCGCAGAGGATTATTAAGTAAAAACATCAGACCTTGGAATGATGAGTACGTGGAAATTTTTCAATATTACACACCATTTTACGTATGCAATATTATGCAATATTAACTAAGCAAATGATAAAATACTGGGGAATTTTATGACACTATTGGATCTCATATTTACAATGAATGCGCAAAGATTCTTAACACATTAAATTAGAAAGCTATTTGGGAGGTTAATTTATATATATATATATATATATATTTATTCTTCGAGATAAAATCATGGATGCCATTCTTAAGATCACGAGAAAAGTTGTCACAAGAGGTTGCTTGTTGGTTGACGTGAACAGAGCATTTTATCCCAGAATAACTCCATGGACACAATCATCTTCTCCCCAATCATTCTGGTATGTTGTCAAGGAGCCGGCCTTGTATTCTATGCACCATTCAACGAACTGTTCTGAGCATCCAGTAAACTATGAGCTGAATTCTCCTTAAAATAAGCGCCCATATATAGTTTAATCCCTTCGTTATCCACATGAAATGGGTGCCCCGGTAGCCATTCTCTTCCGATCAGATTAGCTCATTAACAGGAGGGGGAAGAAGAGGGTTTCTACGGGGCAGCGTAGGTGGGCCACGGAGGGGCTGTGATGGTGCTGTCACAGTGGGGAGGTTCTACAGTGCTCCCCTCCCTCACGCTGTCGTCGAGTAGGTGGGGGAGGGTGGGGCGCAATTGAATAAGCACAAGGGACAACGTAACCTCCCTAAACAATGCTCACGGATGAGCCCCTTCCCCCCGTTTCCGATCAGGGCAGACGAAACTGGGGGCTACTGTAGAGACTCTGAGAGAGAGAGAGAGTGGGCTGGAGGGTGGAGGGATATAAGTTTTACCTATCTGGGTAACTGGGTTCGGGCTAGACTTTTTTTCCCCGAGAAATTGGAGTCAATAGGTGGGGATGGGACGTTGACTAGATGGCACACTGGGAAGTGGAGGTAAGAGCATCACCACCCACCGGCACATGATCTGCTGCGGCTCTTCTTCCATCCGACAGGTGCAACTCCACATGGCCCCCGGCAACTTGCTGCACCGCCGTCTGCTCCGGTCGGCACGCCAGCAGGGAGTGGAAACATCCGATTCAGGCACCACTCAGACGCTGAAACCCCTCCTCCTCCATGGACTTCCGCAGCCACTAAGAAGGTGACGGGCTGTTTAGAGAGAGGGGTGGGACGTGTGTTTACGGGGGAGCCATAGGAGGACCCCAGAAGACAATTAGAAGGTGAGGATCTGCCGGAGAAGGGGACGAGAATCTTAGGGTTCTTGGCCCGGTGGTCCACTCTCGGTTCTCTCTGCCGGTGGGCGACACCGGGATCCGCCCCCTGGGAGACTGAGACCCTTTTTCAAATGGACTGAAACGTGGCCTTTGCGGGTGGGGCTCCTTGTGAGCGGAGAGGGGGGGGGGGAGAAAGAGAGAGAGAGCCTACCCTAGACCCAGGTTGGGTCAACCTACGATGGAGTACACTCATAGCCCAGTTAGGGTTTCCCATAGATTGGGGCCCCAAATTGAGCCCATGAACAGAAAGAAAAGGTCATAGCGGTTCGAAGCTCCCCTAACTTAAGAGCTTAAAGATAAAAGAAGCCCAAGCCCGGGTAAGTCTCCACCCGTTTCTATTCTTCTACTGTGATAGGATCATATTCATCCCCTCGAAGCAAAAATTATCAGGCCCAAAGCGAAAAAAGAGGCCAAGTCCAGAGTTTGAGAAGATCCTACGAAAAAGTCGAAGCTCTAAATTATGTCTACTGAAAAAGAGGGCTGACCTAAGTTCCAGTCTAAAATGTTCAGAAATCCAATATAATATATCTGTGTAGGATTCGAGTCCGAGATAGTAGTAGGCGCATAATGGAGGGGCCGGCCTGGATATTATGCATCATCCAATCCTGAGTATCTTGATGGGCGTTTAGTGATTTGTGGGCTCGGAGTTTTCATGAAATCAGTCTGCGATTCCGCCTCTACGGATCTAAATCCATTTCCAAAAATGGGCTGATCAGCGGTCCGTACGGAGAGAGCTTCAATCGAGAAGCAACATAGATCGATCACTGATCAAGGAGTTATCATCGGCCAGAAACCTTTAGGATCTAGGGAATGGGAATATTCTTTTCATTTTTTTTTTCTTCTACTGAATCTAATGCAGGAAGTTAGCATGGAATGATGATCGCAGTAGTTCTACAGGGAAGAAGAACAAACTTACGAGGTCCTCTTTCGGCGGCGGGGGAGCTTACTGGGATTCCATGGAGGAGATGACATTCACACAGTCGCCTGCACGGGATCCGAGGATTCTCGATGACAAGATCTGCGCTGAACCGCATCTCTCGCCAGATCCAGCCACCGCCGCGCCGAGTCTCAGTCAGATGCCTGAAAAAGATGTCCAAACTCGAGCTTCAGAAAGCATATTTGCTTAGTAACTGCTGCATTCATGAGATATCGACGAGTATCTACTGATCAGGTTCTGGGGAGATTCAAGTTCCGGAAGAGCTCCGGTAAGTGGACATTCGTCAGCTTCGTCCTCTTCCTGATCTCTCTCTTCCTCACGAACTTCGCCCCGGGGAGGCCCCGCCCCGCCGCCCGCCTCCTGGCGGCGGTGTCGGTGGCGGGCCGGATCCCGCTCCTCTGCAGCTCCCTCTCCAGGTCGAGCATGTCCCCAGGGAGCTCGACCGACCGGAAGAGCTGCTTCAGAGCATCATCAACCTCCATCGCCGCCTTCGGGTCGTCGGGGTAAACGACGTCCTCCTTCGCCTCGAGGTTCGACAGGACCCGCACCAGGCCCGCCTCTCTCAGGGCCTTGGGAAAGAAGCGTCAGCAGGGACGATTCAGGAATGGATGAATTTAATCAGCAATGCGACTGTATTGTTTTTTTCAATCGTTTAATATGTGATTATTCCGACGCAAGTTTGTACCTGGAGATCCTCCATGACGGAGGGATACGCATCCTTAACGTCAGCGACGGAGAGGCCTTCCGGGAACTTTCGGATCAGTGAGAGCAGCTGTTCCTTCCCCCTCAGATGGTGGGTCGGCTGGAGGATCAATCTGAAGATCAGTCCAACGAGCTTTTAAGATCTTCGCTGGGGTGATGAAATCGATCACACCTTGTATGAGAAGCCCTCTCCATCGAAGACGACCTTGGGGTTATTTCTCAGGCTGGCGAAGACCGCCTTGTTTCTATTTATGTCGACATAGCAGGCTTCGTTGATCTGCTCCGGCGTTAGAGCTTGCCTTGTCTGCGGAATATATTCAGAGACTTTCCATTTATAGTTAACAGTGTGTACTGAGAAGAAGAATGGAAGAGCCCTACCTTCCTCAGAAGTTCTACGACGCTCTTGATCTGGGCACCAACGGGGGCGTTTCTAATGGCGTTGATACGTTGAAGCCTTTCGGTGTCACTGGAGAATTTGACGGCCACAGGAGCTTGATCCGGGTCTGGAGAGGATTTTGGGGGCGGCTGGCTCGTTGACTTCTGAGCCCGAGCGTCTCCTGAGGACGACGACGTTGCTTGGGCTGGGGCAATGGTGAGGTTGACCGGAGATTTTTCTTGCTGATGTTTGTGCAGATCGAGCCTTCCCTGAATTGACATCTGCAAAATTGTTGGGTGAAACCTGGGGACTATATATATATATACCTCCAGAAAAGATGTGACTGCATAATCAGCAAAAAGAAGCTAATCAAAGCTCACGTGGGCAGGGATCGATAAACCATCATCAGTAACACCAGAGGGGGCAAAGGAGAAGAAGAAATGAAGGGAATGGTCGCTCGCCGTCAGCCTGGTGACCTCAAATTAGAGAAGGTTTCTGTAGAAAAGAGAGAGGGAGGAGGTACCTTACGGTTGAGCAAAAGGAAATCCGACCTGCCGGATTCGAACCAGCGACCTAAGGATATCTGGCAGTACCTACTACAGTCCTCCGCTCTACCAACTGAGCTAAGGTCGGTATGAAGATGACTTATCCACATGTCGATAGTAAGAACCGCCACGTATCATCACCTTCTTCCGACGTCTGTACGCCTCTGGTCACGGCGACGCCTGTCACTCCGAAGAGAAGCTAAAACAGGATATAGGGCCTCGTGCGCTCACCAGGGTTTCCTTGTCGAGGGTTGTTCTCATTGTGATCTTCCAAGCCGTCGTCTCTGCCACCCAACTTCGACCCTGATAAAGAGAGCTAAACTCGGATAAATGAGATATTCGACGGAGAATACGTGATATGGTTGTAGGAGCTACATCTTCCTCTTCATTTCCCTGTTTCACCGTAGGAGCCTCTGAAAATCATCTGTAATCCCCCGCCGACACTTCGTGTGGGTACTTTGACGGTCTCTGAGCTCTTTAATCTGGCGAGGTTTTCTCCCACAGGAGCTTCTTGATCCGCCTGCAACATGACGATGGGTGGTTGGGAATCCAGATGAAGGTATCCCCTCGCTTGATTGAAACCAGGTTGTGCAGCATGTGCTTTGGTGTTGTCTTGCATTCCTTGCAAGCGATGAAATTAAAATGAGTTTAGGAACACCACATGCTAGCTAGATATCAGGTGTATGAAGAATATAACTCTCTTCAACTGGCTGAACCCATGTTGGCTGAAACCGTCAGGATAATTAAGGTTGAGACCTTATCAGTTATGTACAGGAGACATGTCAGATGCTGATTCCCATAGATTGACGGAGATATCATAATTTTATTTTTTTAAAATATAAACAAGGAAAGAAAAAAAAAAGGAGTGAGAAATGGAGAAAAGGTCTTTGAAATCGCATAAGAATATGACGGTACACCAATCATGATGTGGGACAGGTACAGTCACTTACCATGTGCGGATAACATCAATGAAAAAAAAAGGTTTGACTGCGAGGAGACGCAGATAATATGACCAGAAAAAATTGATCAGATGATATTTTGGAGAAGGAATCCCTATTCCGTGAAGGTCCTACTTTGATTCATACAGCGTACCAAATATTCTTCCCATAATATGACAGAAGTAGTTGTATACAAAAATCTTGGAGGTCCAACCTGAAATTGGTGAAGAGAACTCAAGGGATCCCACATTGCCATCTACGAATGAAATAATTCCAGAGCTTTGGCACCATTTTTGAATGCATTGTTGTCCCAAAGCCGGACGACATCTATAACAAACATATGAGATGAACGATGTGCAGCTCCCACACTGGAAATCCTAAATTTCATTTACTGATTCCCGGAAAAACAGGAAAATAACAGTATGTGAAATCTGCTCCGAGAAATTCATCGCCGACGTTTTTCACTAACAGAATTCATCTCATTAGCTTCGCCCTGGATCGAACATCGCTTTTAGTTAATGAATTTCCTTCTAGATCCGTGCTTCCACCAGGCTTATCTTTCGACATGAGAAATTTTCGAGTTTTCTGGCCGTTCTACCTCAATTCCTGGTTTTTCACACAGAAGTACGACTGTCATTAAGGATGAAGATTTCCACGTCTGGTCAGAGTCACTGATCAATGTCATCTTAAAAAAAGATCTCTCCCCACTATCATTCCCGTTGCCTGGAATTTTTCTATGCGGATTTCGAAATTTCGTATGAACGTTAAATGAACATTCCTAATTTCTTCCAAATCGTACAAGCGATCCACAACGACATTTATAATCTGCGAGCATCACAAATTCAATACACAAACCTCATTCCTTGTCGTTATTACAGCGTCGAGAACCCTCTTGTTACCTTGATTTGATGGTCCATCTCACCTATCGATTCAACAGAGGTTAGCTCAACCTTCGTCCTAAACCACTATCCCGTAGTTCTTGTAAAATAGACGATATTCTGCCGAAAATCAGATTCTCCTATGAAAAGTATGCAATTTAAAAAGTAGATAGGCGCACGCACGCGCCTGCGAGAGAGAGAGAGGGAGGGAGGGAGGGTGAGAGAGAGAGAGAGAGGGGGAGAGAGAGTACTTGAATTTTATGAAACAGGTGCAGACGTGACAGCGAAGACGAGCAGCAGCATCCGGTAACTTCATGAACCCTATCCCCTGCATCAAGAACTCTGGACTGATATCCCCCCGCGCCATTGCATTCCACTTCAGTAAGGATCTATAGATCAAGCGAGCGGAAGCCGAAGGGAAGAGAACTACCGCAGAGGGTAGCGGTGGACCGCCGCCGCAAAATCGAACGTCGGAAGGAAGCGGGATTGTGGGGGGGCGGAGGAGTTCACCGGCCCCGAGGAAGAAGGGGAAGAAGAGGCGCCAAAATGGCGCGCGTAAGCCTTCCTTTTTTATACGTTCGAAGGCCGGCCCAACTCTTCTCTGCCCGGTTCGGTCCGGTTCGATAGGCCACCAATAATTTAAATTAAAAGGTATTAAATAATTTTAACATAGAATTTAAGGGCATTATAACATCCTGACGAATTTTCAACGCGTTAAAATCATATTTAAATCCATAATTTTTTGATTTGTAAAAATGATTATTTTCCAATAATTTTCAAGCCAAAGATCCATGCTCCACATGGTAGAACATAAGGATCTCTCTTTGAAACTTGTCACTAGAGAGGTACTGCAATAGTCAATCTACTGACCAAGCCTTAGACAGCTCTCCTTTACATGGCAAATGACTTTTTTTTCGGTCTAAAGTTCAACCTTAAATAACCAAAGGGTGAGATTGTTTCATCTTTTTGAGTATATTCCATCAACACCAACTCTAAAGTTAATGAGAGAATAATCAATTTATAAATTAAGTTGAGGGTCCTTCCTTGACAGCCCAATGTCAATCAGCCCAAGACACGATGCCATTAAGATTGCCAAGGCAGAATTCTATATCTAGAACCTCGCAGCTGGTAGACAATGGCAAAGCTATGCATGACATGACAAACACACACAGCATGACATGTGCAGATGTCATGAGTGTGTATGACATGACAAATGTATGCAACATAGTGGATCCACATGGCATGACGAGTGCACATGACATGGTAAATGTGTGACGCATGATGGATGTACATAGCATGACAAGTGCGTATGACACAATGGTTTGGAGTAAGTGTGTGGTTGATAGGGTTGACATCACAAGTATGGTATTATCTTGTAATTAAATAATTGAATCTCACATCAAGAGTATGATTTATTATCTAAGCTTTCTTATCTATGTTAAAAAACTTAATCCTATGGTGGTCAACAAATTAAGAGTTCTAATTATAAATGACATTGTATGCTAAACCTATTGGTCAAAGAGGTCAATTAATTGGTCTTGTGAGCATGTCCAATGACAGTACAAGGTACAACATGATTTGGCCATTAGCCTTGTGTCAACTAATATCATAGCTTTATTTTAGGTCAGATTACTACTGTTCTCTTTTTTTATTCAATTGAGATAGAATTCAAAAGTAGTAGGACAGGCTAGAGTAATACCTAATGGCATCAAACTATCTACTTGTAGGAGAGGAATAGAGGGGTGTCACCTATCTACACACTTTGGAAGAGAGGTTTGAAGATATCAATGTGGTGGCATGTGAACCCATGGCCCTCACCCAAGGGTGGAGCTAGGAAGACAACTTGAACAACTTATGTGAAGCCATTGAGAACTTCAAGGAAGAGATAGCTCAAGTTTGGAGATAACATGAGGCCATGTTGGTTGAAAGGGGTACTCTGCACCTAAGAGTATTTGAGCCCAAATCTTTCTTTAGAAAGAAGGATGGAGAAGAAATTAAAAAAATTATATAGATCTCCAATCTTATTCAGAAGGCAGATATGGATCTCTAATATTTATATGAAAAATCTTGTCAAAGTAGAAGGTAATTGTACATTTAAATTTGACAAGACATGTTATGTTCTAGTGGCATATGAGGGCAAAGGATCACCAATGAACACTGATGACATATTAGCTTGAGTTCAAGATATCACACCAAAGAAACTTCCACCTAAACTCCTCATATGGTAAAAAAATGATCACACTATTGACTTGATCTTAAAGGAATGATTGCCTATGTGAGCCCTTTCTAAGATGTCTCCATCACATTTTAAAGAATTATGAAGAGAGTTATACAAGCTTTTGGAGACCAAATGTATCCACCCCTTGTGGGCATCATTTGGAGCATGTCTTATTCCAATGAAAGAAAGGTGACTCATTATGGTAGTGCATGAACTACAAGACTCTAGACAAGATTTCTATGAGAAACAAATATCCAATCCCTAATATAGAATCATTTTGACTAGCTTGATGGTGTGATGATCTTCTCTAAATTAAATTTTAAGAGTGGATACTATTAAGTTCACATCTCAAAAAGGAACAAGCCCAAGATGACTTAACCTGCTATGGGTCTTCTAAATTTAAAATAATGATACATTTTAGACTTACAAAATGTACTTGTTACCTTCTTTTTATTAATAAACTTTATCTTTTGGCTTTATTTTGATTGATTCTTAGTTGTTTACTTAAGCGAAATATTAATCTATAGTTATTTTATAAGTGGGTATGTGAGACACTTAAGGCAAGTGATTGAGATATTGAAGGCTAATTAGTTATACCTCAACCCTATGAGTGTAAGTTCAAACTAGAGGAGATAAAGTTATTGACAATATAGTGAGTCACGATTAAGTATGGATAGATTACAAGACAATACAAATTAAAAA